AGGAATAATGAAGAGGAATATACGCATGCGCTATTACTTTTTTGGGTTCTGTGCATGCTCTAGGTCCATGCCCTGGAATTGACCTCATTTAACGCACATATTTACACTCGGACCAAACATTTTTCTCGTCTTGGATGTTTTTTTTATTTTCTGTTATTTTTGTTCATGATTCGATAGAAAAAAAATGAACTACAAATACTCCAAGATTTGTATGACTTCATTAACAAATAAAATCGTTTTTGTAGGATGGAAACTTTTTGAGGTCAAACCCCCCACCCCCAAACTAAAGCAGATAAGTTTTTTTTATCCGACATCAATCTTTTGATGTACATGTAGTCCCTTACACAATGCTGATTACTGTTATATCTGTGTACCATTATATGGCCGTAAACTGTACAGCTAGATTGTGGATACACTTCACAGTCTTCATTTTGGTTCATAATCATCATTCAATGGGAAAAAATTGTGTGCTTTTTACATCTTTTAATAGGAATGGCTGGTGGCAGAAAGGAATATGTATTGTGAGGAATTGGTATTATTCATTACTCTGAGTCACATGTACCTAACATAATTGTTACCCAATGTTATTCAGTATGTTCTCCAATATGATCAGGCAACTGAAGCATATGGTTTAATATTGTACATTTACATAAATTATTGATATTAATGTAATGTAAGAATGTTTTTCACATCAACATAACCTAGGAATCCAATTTAATTAGTGAAGATGTAATGCATCCATTGTTCATTACCAGCACCAACATAATACTACACATACACATATAAGGAACCATCACTCCAATGTTATAATAACTGCAGTTGTCAGTTGGCAAGAATTAACGATACACATGTACCACCCTATACTGTTAGATTTACTGAATGTTACTCACCAGTTGAAAGTCAGTAATAAGTTTGTTTTTATCATCAATCATAGCATCACAGAGTGACTGTTGCTGCATTAATAAATCCTGTAACTCCTGTGGTACATCTCGGTTATGGGCAGATTCCCACTTTTTTGTGATTTCTTCAAATCGCTCAACTCCAGCTTTAGCTTCAGCTTCCAATTTTTCAGTTCTATAAACAAAATATTAATATGTAATTCTAGTTTCCCCATATTTTAATTAATTCAATTATAAAGTACAAACATTTTAATGAGTAAATTGTGCATACATGCACATAATGTATTAAATAAATATAAATGCATACACCGGTAAATAAGGGTGTATAGTTTAAAAGAAAGATTTGAAATATTTCTATTATTAACATCTTGTCCTCTGTTTAAACAAACTTTCTGTGAGCGATGACAAGTTTTCAAATGATGACCATTTTCTAATTCGTGTAATTTATAGACTGATGACTGTCAACGTTTCAGTGAAAACCCAGCTAAGCAGGCTGCAAATAGCACAAGCTAACATAGGTACATATACATGTACATATAGCTGTACATATTAGGATTGATACCTTTGTCTGAGATTCTCCTCTTCTTCTGTTCTTCTAAGTGCTTCACGTGAATCACCAGCAACTCTTACATTTGTCACTAACTCAGTACCATCAGTTTTCAGTTTTGTCAAACGCTAAGAAAAACAAAACCAAATCAGTACTCCATTATGTGGATTTCTATTTGAGCACACATTAGCTTTTGACTTTTTTTTTCTCTCAAGCCAAATATACACAAGTAATCAAAACTGATGAAAAAGGAATGTAAATAAACCTACACGACCATAGATGTGAACCTCTGTAACTTGTATCAAAATGAAATTTTTGGTATTGATACATGATCAGAATGATGAATACAATGTAGCCCATATAATTGTCATATCCCTATAATTTGTTAAAACTATGGCTAGTACTAGTATGTTATGGTAAGTACATTGTATAAACATCAGTGTCTATTTTACCTGTCTACTTTCTTCAATCTGTTTTCTACTTTTACTTTGTTCCTCTTTATCCTCTTTCTTCTTGGCATTGGGATCCTCTCCCATCGTCTCCCTGTTAATCACAACAAAATATTAAAAAGGACATCAAACTCATTATCATTGTCAAGAATCAATTGTGTTAAATTAGTTTTTACAAATCATTTAGTTCATTATATTGCTGTAACTAAGCACTGAAATATGTGGTTGCATTAACATCCACTTCTGCTGTACTGTCTTCAAGCATACATGCAATTTAGCTGTAGTATCCTATTATTAATTAATTAATTAACAAGCCATGCATGGCATAGTCCCTGTTAGTTATAAGATTTAAGATATATAGTTTTGTTTATAGTAATATAGTTTGAACATAAACATGTCAGAGATTTTGATCCAGAAGTAAATGCTAGAATATGATGATTTTTTAACATTAGAATGCTTGACATTCAGTCATCTTGTATCTGATATTCAAACGAGTACTTGTCCATATTAAGAGATCTTGCTCTGGAACAGCATTAATTAAAACAAAATGGCCACCGGTTGACCATTTTGAATCAAAACGTTTATGACATGATGTATAATGAATAGAACAACATTCATTAAAACAAAATGGCTGCCAGTCAGCCATTTTAAATTTTATCTGAAAAACAATCAAAGAAAGCTTAGAAAGAACTCCCGTGTGCTGAGAGTATTGGAGACACATTACAAATTAATTCAAAATGGAAACGCAGAAAACTAATTATGCAAATAAGGTAGCTAATATTAACAGATTTAAGTGTAAAACTAATAAGGTCTGCACAATGTACCAAGTTTCATTGAAATGTGATTAGAACCAAAAAATATTAATTATTATGCTAATTAAAGAATTATATGACAGATTTTAACCCAAATTAATCAGCTGTCTATTGTCCTAAAGCATTTATGTACCTAGTTTTATTCAATGTGATGA